TTCCAGATACCATTTTGTTGTAATAGTTTATATCTTGGATGCTGGCTTTAATGCTCATGTGTTTTCTGTCCTTGCGTTGCCTATCCGATGGTGTTTTATTAGAGGCATCCATCCATACATTACACTGTAGCCGTGTTCACACGGCATCTGCACCGGGCACACCGTGCGCATCCCTCCCCCCTGTGGTTAGTTTTTGTTTGTACCCACGTGGAATAATCTTGTTAAACCCACAATAACAGACACAAATCCTGTTTAGGCACTCCCCCCCCCCCAGTTAGCTGGGGAACACGTTCCAGCCCCTCCCACATGGACAGGGAGAGGCCGGAGAGGGACCACGTGCGACACTTGGAAAGGTTCCATGCCTGAGTGGTACTTTACTCTTTGCACATGGAGGGTGATCTCAGAGGGGGCGGGAGCAGCATGCTTTCCAGTCTCACGTGTGGCAATCAATCCATTTCTGAATGCCTAAATGAAGATTATCTGTGTGAGTATCCAGATCAACAGTCTGTGTAGATAATAATCGTGTGCTGTCAAGTCAACTTTGGCTTAGGGTGGTCTTTTTCAGGATTTCCTAAGTTGAGAATACTCAGAAGTGGTCGACCCTTCCCTTCTTGTTTCCTATGTTGAGAATACTCAGAAGTGGTTGACCCTTCCCTTCTTCTGGGGGTGTCTTGGGACTGTGTGCAGCTGGCCCGAGGCCACCCAGGCTGGCTCTTCTCTTGGGAGACCCAGCGGAGGGGAATTGAACTCCCAACCTTTGGCCCCACAGCCAGAGACTTAACTCACTGAGCTATCCAGCCTGCCTCTATGTCCTCAGAGAGTACCTGTGTAGACGATATAGTGTGGTCCTTCTCGTTGTTATAGGAGTAAATAATCTGCTGTTAAAAGGGGGGATATGTAGATAGATAGACCTACCTGTCTTTCGGCCAAGGCAGAACCTCAAGAGGGCAGCTTGGCGGCATTGGGATTGCTTTTAAGTTGAGCCGTGTTAGGAAAAGTAGAAAGATTTTGTAAAAATGTAAATACAGTACATTTAACTATCATGGGATAACTAGAGGGTCCGGGAAGGATTTAAGCAACCAGAGCCAGGGCCCTCCCTACTGTTAGGTGAAGTGAGTGTTCCTTGCAGTCCAGGGGACTCTCAAGAGCCTCCTCCAGCACCACAATTCAAAAGCATCAATTCCTCAGCGGTCAGCCTTCTTTATGGTCCAGCTCTCACTTCTGTACATCACTGCTGGAAAAACCATAGCTTTGACTATTCGGACTTTTGTCGGCAAGGTGATGTCTCTGCTTTTTAGGATGCTGTCTAGGATTGTCATCACTTTCCTCCCAAGAAGCAGGCGTCTTTTAATTTCTATAGGCCACACCTATAGAGACTTAGTTTTTCTGACGTTGAGCTTCAGACCGTTTTTTGCACTCTCCTCTTTCACCCTCATTACAAGGTTCTTTAATTCCTCCTCACTTTCTGCCATCAGAGTGTTATCATCTGCATATCGGAGGTTGTTGATATTTCTCCTGGCAATCTTAATTCCGGCTTGGGATTCCTCCAGTCCGGCCTTCCGCATGATGTATTCTGCATATAAGCTAAATAAGCTGGGGGACAATATACAGCCTTGTCGTACTCCTTTCCCAATTTTGAACCAATCAGTTGTTCCATATCCAGTTCTAACTGTTGCTTCCTGTCCCACATATAGCTTTCTCAGGAGATAAATAAGGTGGTCAGGCACTCCCATTTCTTTAAGGAATTGCCCTAGTTTGCTGTGGTCCACACAGTCAAAGGGTTTTGCGTAGTCAATGAAGCAGAAGTATATGTTTTTCTGGAACTCTCTGGCTTTCTCCATAATCCAGCCCATGTTAGCAATTTGGTCTCTAGTTCCTCTGCCCCTTCGAAATCTAGCTTGTACTTCCGGGAGTTCTCGGTCCACAAACTGCTGAAGCCTACCTTGGAGGATTTTGAGCATGATGGTAAATGGCTGCTAATTAACAAGTTGCCATTTACATTCCTAGTGTCATGCCAGTTCATGTGATTGACGTATGACTAGGATTATAAGTAGCCACCTATGAATTAGTGGCAATTTGCTGTCGCTGTTTACTCCTTTACGCTTATAGTAGCCTAAATCTATGACTGGATTCGTTCAGTTGCAATTATTATTATTATTCAGTATCGCCACCACCACTTTTAATATTTTTGCTAGTTTTAGCAGTATAGCAACATCAGTGTGCTTACATGGGGCTTAGCTTCTTGACGGTTTCAGAAGAAAAAATCATGACTGAAATTTTTCAGGTATTATGCCATTCTCCTAGCCTTAGTGGCAGAAGAAATATTCTTTGTTCCCATCTTGTGTAATTTTTATAAATATTTCCAAGGTACAGTATAATATCAAAATTGGCCACTAGAGGGAACCAAGTACATAGTTTTCCCACCCCAATGCATTAATATGTAATGGAATAAATTATTTGTGTGATTTGGATAGTGATAATAATGCCAGTCTGGTCAGTGATGGATAACACAAAAAGTTCCTTTGAAAGGGTGACATTCTGTGCTTCGCTTCATTTTACTGTCTATAGCATAACAACATTTGCAAAGGACACCAGATAATACAGAGCATGAGGGGGAGATGCCCCTAAAAACTACAAGGATAGCTTGCTACAGCACAAACCTCCTGTAAAAGCAGACCTGAAAAGTGATTGTTCTGATTTTTCCAGAGGAGTCTCAAGGGGAAGGGAAGGATAAGCTAAAATATTTTGGATGCTTTTCAAGGATGTCTCAAAACTGCTTAATTGGAAAATATTGCCATATCTCCCTCAGCTTTCCTCTTTCCCTATCAGGCAGGGAGAAGTTAAGCCAAAAGGCATTCTGACTTTGCCGTTTCCAGTGGGAAAGCTCTGTTAATTGTATGGAGAGAAAACTAAAATCCCACTAGACTTCTTTTAGTTTTTTTTTTGTCACACTTTTTTTTTGCAATTTTATTTTATTTTTGACTGCAGGCCAGTTTATCAGATACAGTGATGCCTCGCTAGACAGTTACCCCGCATGACAGTTTTTTCGCTAGACATTGACTTTTTGTGATCGCTATAGCGATTCACAAAACAGTGATTCCTATGGGGGAATTTCGCTGGACAATGTTTGGTCCCTGCTTTGCAAACCAATTTTCGCTAGACAACAATTTTGACAGCTTCCTCCGTGCTCGCAAAATGGGTGTTTTCGGGACCTAAGCTTCACAAGACAGCAATTTAAACAGCTGATCGGCAGTTCGCAAAGCAGCTTTCCTATGGCTGGTCTTCACTAGACAACGACAATTCTTCCCTTTTGGAACACATTAAACAGGTTTCAATGCATTCCAGTGGGGAAATGCTTTTCACTGGATGATGATCTCGTTAAACAGCAATTTCAGTGGAACGGATTATCATTGTCTAGCGAGGCACCACTGTACATAGAGAGTTATCTTCACTGGCAAGTTGTTATACTTGTGTAGAGATGGTAGAGTGGGGGGGAAATGCAATTAGTAGGGAATTGACATGGAAAAGGTAAGAAGTGTGGCCACCATCTTACAACAGACGTCAACAAAGAGGGGTTTGATGGTTATCCGGATTTCCTTGAGCTGATGGACAGTCTTGTAATAAGAGACCTGCATTTTATTCCAGTCAAATGAGGTCCTTGTCCCATGTTCTCGTGTTCTGTTTATCAATGTCAAGGGTTTTTTTAAAGTAGTTATTTATCATTCCATTGTAAAGTGTGTTTTTTAAAGTACAACAGAATTAAATCATTATTTGCAAGTTATGCCATCATTATGTTCAATGTTAGGAATGTGACCTTTTGAAAGGAACGCATTGTCTTCTGCATTCATTCGTGACACCAAAATAGCTCTTATCATTTGTTGCTCTGAGGTTTTGTGAAAGCATTGTGTTGCCCTTACCAGCACGACACAAAAATACAAGGAAATACAGTCTGGTTCCATTGAGGAGCCAGGTTTTATGTTACATCTCGGAAACATTTAGGAGAAGACAAACAATGAAACTAAAGAACGCTTCTCGTCCCACTTAGGTTGACAAGGGAACCTGAAAAATGTATATCAACATATCTCCAAAATGCCTTGAAACACTTTTGAAATAACTTCTGAATGAATAGAGGTGTTCTTTGTTATACTTACGGAGCATAAATGTTATTCGTGATACCTAAAAGCTAGCTGTGCAATTACTAGTTACATACTTTCTTACCCAAAAGAAACTAGTTATAAGGAACTAGATTACTTTAGCAAGTTACTTCCAAGTTCTACTTGGAACCTGTCTAATACACAGCCCAGTGAAGTACAGTACATATGTAGAAATATGTGTAGAAAAAATGAAAGCTTAACATATTCTGGACAAAGTCACTGTACTGTTGTCTTCTTATTCTTTATGTTGAGCTCAATGGTTCATGGGATACCATTGTGTAACTATTTTGCCATTCAGGATTGACATCATACCTCAGGAACGTATATCACAAATTCTGCAAGTGACGGTTATCTGTGATGCGACATATTGTTATTATCAGCCCTGCAGTTCATAATGCGCAGAGTCCATCCACACCGTTGATCTGAAAGACAAAATAGTGTTAAACAGGGCTGAGATTCAGTCCCCTTTCCTTCCCCCTCACTTTTCTCTCCGTAGGTCGGGTTTTATTTTGCCAGCTTTCCCTTGGGCGGGCCTGTTTTCTTTCACAGCAGAATGATGATGTCGTAAACTTTGGACAATGAATTGCTCCTCTAGTTCAAGGATGCCTAGGATCTGTAGGAAGGAAGGAAGGAAAGGAAGGACAGAGCATTGATTGAGTCAGGAGAGAGAAGAATGAGGCAGTGAGAGAGATTCTTCCTGCTGAATTGCTGTGTTATTTTGCTGTGCCAGCTGTTAACTAAATCACGGTCCGTGGCGAGGACAGAGTGGAGTTAGAAAGTTCATAGAACATCCCCCAGTGTGCCAGCAAGGTGAACGTATTTGAGCCATGACCTCTGTCTTTCCAGCAGGAGCTCAATTTCCAGAATGTCGTCGGCCAAGATGCTAGAAAAAATTGTCGGCTTGGTGACCATCCGGAACGGGACAATCCGAGAGGGCCTGGCCGAGGCTCTGGGGACCTTCCTGCTGATGGTAAGCAGGAGGAGAAGACCAGGGTCCGGTGTTCAAAGGGATGGAGGGATGGAGAGGCGGTTGGCTTGGGCAGGACGAGCATTCTTCCGTTGTGAAAATGGGAGGATGTATGGATCTAAAATTCAGGTCTTAAAGTACGGAAATGGTGTTCCTTCAAGGATGCTGAGAGCCATTTTTGCCAAAGAGGGCAGGGCAAAGTGAGGAGGAGGAGAGAATGCCTGTGGGGTTACTCAGGCATCACACTCACACACACACACACAAACACGCACACACAAATACACATACAGAGAGAGAGAGAGAGAGACAGAGAGAGAGAGAGACTTAATTCTTCCAAGGGGTTAAAGTTCTTATGTGATCAGTCTCCTAGAATTCCTGCATCGCTGAGGCCAAAGAGTTTGTCTTATGACTATTCTTCTTTCTCAGCATTGTTGGTTCTCTGGGTCAGATCAAAAGGTGGAGCCTAACAATTAGGAAACAACTGCAAAAAAATTTGCACGTGAGATGGCATGCTTGCACAATCACTGCTTTTGGAGTTTCCAGAAGCAAATGACCAGCTGTTGACAGTTGTCTCAAGTTGGTAATTAAAGATTTTGGAAACCCTCCAGCTGCTGAAATAAGTATCGGGAGGAAGATGACCCTATCACATGTTCTTCTACATTCTTTCTGTTTCTTGCCCTTTAATGTTTGGTTCTGCGATTTTTTTGTCCTTTCTGTACTTTTGAGGTTGCTTGTTGATGAAACGTGGTGGGGGGTGGGAGCCTCGTCGCCAAGCAGAAAGGCCATCCGTGGTGAGGGCTTTCCAGCTGAGGATCCAAGGGAGACAGAGAGGGAAGGGGGCCATGATGAGCGTTTATTACTATGTGATGCATGCTGTGCAGAAAGAAACAGAGAAGAGCTTGGGAATCGTTTGGAATCTAAAAAATATCCAAGCCCTGGAAAGAAGAGAGAGTGAGAACTTTATTGCTCTTTTGTTATGCTAGAACTTGGTGGTGGTGGGATCTTCAATGAAATGGACAGACAACATATTCCACACAAAACGCCATGCAATACAGTTATGGGATTGGGTTGGAAAACGGCCTCCACATATTCATGGAGTAGAAGAGGCAAACCTCACAGCTAGCCATCATGGCTAAACCAAGCGTCCATGTTCTTGGAGCATCAGTGCAGGAGATGGGTCACCTTCATGGTCTCCTTGTGGCTTTCCTCTTGACCTCTGTTGGAAAGAGGATGGTGGGTGGGATTAACTCTTTGTGGGTCAAGCAGGGGCCTTCATTTGTGGCATTACCCCACATTACCGTGGGGCTGGGAGCAGGTAACTCTCTCCCTCCGTTGGCAGGCAGAGTTGTGTTTAGGATGTCACCAGCCTATTTGACCTGGGGCGCCATCATCTTCCTGTAACTCAAATGATACAACATCTCTGACTCTTCGAAGACCAGAAGACTTTTCTGGGTTCATGGGTTCAGTGTGAATGAACGTAATTCAGGACAGAGAAGTGGAAATATTTCATGGGGCATGTAAATAAAGAACTTTTTCTGTAGGCAGGCTTTATTTTTTAAATGATGGTTTCACTAGGGGGATATTTAAAGGGAATTATTTTCTTTTTGCTGCTTTACTTGAGCTTTTAATATTTCTCTTATTTATGAGTTTTAATACGAGATCTCTTTAAGGCCTTTTAAAGAGTGTAATAATGTATTATTTAGCTTTTGACCTTGTTTCTTTCAGTATTGTAAACTGTTTTGAAAAGGAGGCATATAGACAGACAGACAGACAGACAAAAACTGTAGAATTCACTGCCACAAGAAACTGTGGTGGCTGCTGGGTTCTACCTCCCCCAATGAGGAATGGAAGAAAAAGCATGCCGTGGCCTTCACAGCCTGCTTGTCTTCTGGCTTTCCAGGACTGGCCCCTTGATGGTTGAGTCCTACCTCAGGGCTCTGTTGATGTTCCTAATGCAGACATGGACTCTACTTCAGCCTCTCCTTTGGGCGTTTCCCATCGTGAAGAATGAGGTTGGCCAACGACACACGTCCTGCAGCACGTCAAAATGGCTTTGGCCGCTGGTTGGCCACAGTGTGAACAGAATACTAGACTAGAGGACACCTATGGTCCACCAGTTTTGTGTCTGCTTTGGAGACTGCAGTTGCTCATCAGCCATGGATAGGGGTCCGCAGGTTCACAGCTGCGTTCCACTGTCTTAAGGAGAGGAGAAGCAGAAAATATGACAATTGAAGGAGACAAACGAGGTGCTACAGATCCTCCCGTCTAGTGTTTATTAAATTTTGACCTAGAGTAGAAGTTCTTCCTGTGCCCAGGAGATGAAGGGTGTTATAAAGAAGCTGCGCATAAGAAAAACACATCCATGGAGTGAGGCAAAGCTATGTCTGAGGGAAGGACAGGCAACCCCAGAAACACAGGTGGCACCTTCTCAGCTTCTAGATTAACCCATTGGCTGAAATCCAGTTGCAAGTCATAACCAGGGTAAGTCCATTGAACGAATGGGACTCATGGAGGAGTTAGACTCATCGAATCCCTACTGATTCAGTGGCCTACTCTAGTTGGCGATGTACAACTGGATTTCAGCCATTGTGGCCAAAGAGAAAGAGGACCGTCTTGTTTGCCAGCAAGTTTGTTGGGTCAGTTGAAGAGCTTAGAAAAGTTACTTTTTAGGACTGAAGAAAAAAAAAAGACATCTGGGAGGTACTGTACATCAGCTAGCTTGGGGATCAGCAAGCGAGGTGAAAGACCATTGATTGGTTCTTAAGAAACTTGACGTTCTTGTTGTCACTAAATTAGATGGCTGGCCTGCTTGGAAATGGATCATGTCCTCTGAGCACTGCAAGGTCTAATTTTATTCCCAGCTCTCTCACGTGCTCTTTAGTTGGAGATGCCAGAGACCAAACCGGGACTTTCACACAGAGCTAGTTCTACTATTAGAGGGAAAGAATTCACGGTGGTCTAAAGGGGAGCAGGACACCTAATAATGAGTTCGAGGTACAAGAAGCCAGATTTCAGTTGAGTATAAGGAAACATTTCTTAACTGTTAGAGCAGTACGACAATGGAACCCATGACCTTATGGGGAGGTGGTGAGCATTTCCATGCTGGAGGCATTCAAGAGAAAAAATTGGACGACCTTCTGCCAGATCTGCTTTGACCTGGATCCCTGCCTTGAGCAAGGAGTTGGACTTGATGCCCTTACAGGCTCCTCCCCACTGAATTAATCTGTGATTCTATGGTTAGTTATTTAACTTTTGTGGTTTACTACCAAGGAAGTATGAGAGGAGAGAGCATTTGAATCACCTGGGCCAAAATAATTTGGCTAGCTGTAGAAACAACATATCTTGTCTTTAATAGGTAAGGGCAGAGGTGCCATGTGCTTGTTCTACCTCAGAAAGCAAAATAGTTTCGGCCAACCTGTGTGCTAACACGTCTTTTGCCGGTCTCTGTTTCTGGACCAGCATTTCATTTCGGAGGTGGGTTGAGGTGTCTGTCTGTCTGTCTGTCTGTCTGTCTGTCTGTCTGTCTGTCTGTCTCTGTCTCTCCCACCCCATTAGTGCACAGTGCTATTCTGTGTGGTTTACATAAAACAAGACTTAAAAATGACAACAAATCACAAGACAACACCAAAAACTTGACATAAATCTGGAAGGTGTGAAGAGTTAAGAGTGGCGGAACAGGGACACAAAAGTTTTAAAGAGGATATGCCAATGTTGGGATCCCGTTTATGCAGATGTTGGGATACTTTGACAGACGTGGTTCTTTTGTCCTTTCCCACAGCTTCTCGGCTTGGGCAGTGTGGCCCAGGTGGTCCTGGGGAGAAAGAACTTTGGGGAGTATCTGAGCATCAATCTGGGTTTCGGATTTGGCGTCATGCTAGGCGTCCACGCAGCTGGTGGAATCTCAGGTGAGTCTGGTAGCTACGTGTGGCTGAAGAAGGCGGGCCCAGGTCTCCCGCCGTGATGGGCAGCTCATCTTGCCAGGCTGAAGAAACGTTTCCATGTCTCCCTTGATGACAGCCTATGCATAGATTTCTGATGTGAAGAACGCAACACACAAAATTACTGGTTTTTGATGAAACAGGTGGCCTCGGCAGGTCAAGAAACCCTGTTGAGAACCTTTGGCCCATCTGAGAGTTCTTGGTTCAGCCTGAGAATGAGACAAAGAGAGGGACCTCTTCGTAATTTGCACAAAACGATACCATGCAAAATGAGGGTCTGTTTCTGTTTGTCACACCAAGCAGGCACATGTGGGAAGCACGGTAGGACTTTGCTGACCCACCAAAAGTTTTTGCTAAATCTGTTCAGTGCTTCTAGTTTCTAAAAGACCACTCGGCAAAAGAGCAGTTTTTACAGAGTACAATTTGTGCAAAAATCATTCTCACAAAGGTAAGAATTCTTTTTGAGAGTGTGAGGAAATAGAGGACCACCTTGCATGAGACGAGGAAAAGTCTGCAGTTTCTTGCTGTTGTGCTTTTGAAAGCTGGCAGGACAAAGTTCCAAACTGAGTAGTCTTAGAACAAGTTGGAATTTTTAGCATGTATACATTACTGAAACAGTGACGTCTACGTTCGTTCGGGCATGTCGTGAGAATGGCTGATGGTTGGATTCCAAAAGATCTCCTGGATGGAGAATTAATGCAGGGAAATTGCCCCAGAGGGAGACCACAGCTGCGATACAAGGAGATCTGCCAGCGGGATGTGAAGGCCTTAAGAATGGACCTCAACAGATGGGAACCCCTGACATCTGACCGTTCAGCCTGGAGGCAGGCGGTGCATCATGGCCTCTCCCAATTTGAAGAGACCCTTGTCCAGCAGGCCAAGGCATTGAGGCCGACCCAAAAGCAGCAAAATCAGGGAGCGGGACGGGACAGATTATATTTGTCTTCAGTGTGGAAGGGATGGTCACTCTCAAATTGGCCTTCTCAGCCACACTAGATGCTGTTCCAAGTCCTCCATACAGAGCACGTGACCCTTGTCTCTTGAGACTGAAGGATGCCTAAACCTGCTTCAGAAAATATGAGCAGAGATTTTCCTTCCTAGCTGTGAAATAGACTTATTTCGCTCCCTCTGCCCTTCTCTATGCAGGCTTTCTGTTTTTGTTTTTGAAATGCTTTAAAAATATTCTGTATCATTAATAATATGATGATGATGATGATGATGATGATGATGATGCACTGTCAAGTCACGACTGGATGTTGCCCAGCTTCCTTAGACAGCTATCAGGGAATGAAACAGATCTGACTGAGACTTCTCAGAAGTGCTTTCCCTTTCCTTCTGGGGGAGCCTCGGGAACACGGTGCAGCTGGCCCAAGGCCACCCAGGCTGGCTTGGCTTGGAGAAGGCAGAGTGGGGAATCGAACTCCCAAACGTTGTTGGTTTTTTTTAACATTTTATTGTAAAAATGGATGGAATCCTACCACCTCCCCAGATGAGGGTGTCATTATTGTTGCAGAACATGAAAACAATGTCCATTCTTGTGTTTTCCTTTGCTTCTGCTGTCGAAAGGGGCTCATATGAATGCATCCATCACCTTTGCCAACTGCCTCATAGGACGGCTGCCCTGGTACAAGCTTCCGGCGTACGTGATTGGCCAGTTCCTCGGATCTTTTCTGGCTTCCTCCACTGTTTTTCTTCTGTACTATGGTAGGTTGCTTTCTTCGTCACCCACTGTACCCCCGTTCTGCAAGAAAAATAGGTTATCCATTCACAGAAAGCTATCAAGTATTTACGACCTTGAGGTAAGAAGGCAGTGGTGAAAATTAAGTATGGGGCAGCAGTGCTTCTCTTACCACTCCTGGGGGGAAAGACACTTTGGATTGCTGCTGGGTGTTTCTACTGTGCCCACACACCATTTGTTCAGCTAGAGGCCTGGGTTTCCAGCTGTATGGGAACCCTATGTTGGCCTACTGGCATGGAGTGGATAGCTGCAATACCTCTGTCTGGCCACCAGAGGCAGTGGGGCACTAATATTTCATGGGGCACTTGCCTCTTGTAGCAAGTGTCTACAGTGATATAGTGAATAAGGCTGCTGGGATCCGGCTAGAATTTGGAAAGGTTACTCCTTTTTTTTGGAGATTACAGTCCCAGCCCCACCTAGTAAAGGTAAAGGTTCCCCTTGACATTTAGTCCAGTCGTGTCCGACTCTAGGGGGCGGTGCTCATCCCCGTCTCAAAGCCGCAGAGCCAGTGTTTGTCCAAAGACAGTTTCTGTGGTCACGTGGCCAGCACGGCTATACACGGAACGCCGTGCCCTTCCCACCGAGGTGGTACCTATTTATCTACTCGCATTTACGTGCTTTCAAACTGCTAGGTTGCCGGGAGCTGGGACGAGCGACGGGGGCTCACTCCGCCGCATGGATTCGATCTTATGACGGCTGGTTTTCTGACCCTGCAGCACACAAAGGCTTCTGCGGTTTAAACTGCAGTGCCACCACATCCCCAGCCCCACCTATATATGGACAAATAAGGACCTTTCTCAAACTCTGGTTCTGATGCTCAACCTTCGACTTGACATTCCTTATAAACCTTTAACAATTATGTTCGGTTAAGTCAGTTCTGACCTATAGTAACCATCCCACAACTTTTTAGGTGTAAAGGAAGTTTGTACCTAGCACTCTCAGACTATCCAGCTTGCCCAAGACTATGCAAGTGGCAGGGCAATTAACCCAGCCAGCCCCATCGCCACCTACAGGTTGTCTCAACAGATCTGCTTCCAAGGAAGGATCGCGGGGATCCAAACTCCGATCCCCCAGCACCACATCTGGGCACACCAACCTACTAAACTAGATCAGCTCCTCCATAAAAACCCAAGATGGCCCCTAATTCAATCCACAATTAGGAGCCATTTACCTGGTGGATAAACAAGGTTACCCGGTCTAATGAAATCGTAAACTGCCAAAGAGTGCTTTGAGCACTATGGGGCCGTCTATAAGCCTCACACTTTCGCTTGGCTTGCCTTTTCCCGGTATAAATAGCAGGGTGTGTGTGAAAAACAGAGACATAAATAGATTCCTTGTGGATGGAGGCTCTCCTCATGGTGAGGCAGGGGAGCACTCCAAGGAAGCAAAGAGGTCTTCTTTGGGTAATTAAGAAGTCAAAAAGAAGCAGATATACGTACGTACCTTTGTAGGGAATTAGGAAGTCTTTCTTTTTACCGGGAAGGCTGGATGAATCAAGAGGAGAAGGGCCCTCGATGACCTCGAGAGTCTCAAATCACAGCTCAGTTTTGTCATCTCTTTGAGCTGTCTCCTGTTGTTCTTGTCCTGGTCCTCAACACGGCTGTCTCTTCTTCCCCGACAGAAGCCCTGATGGATTACACCGGGGGAAACCTGACTGTGACTGGGCCTACGGCTACCGCCGGGATCTTTGCCACCTACCCGGCTCCGTACATGTCTTTGTGGGGCGGGTTTGTAAATGAGGTCAGTGTGTAAGGAGGGGCGGATGGTGGCTCAGCTAGAAAAGCACCGTGGCTGGTTTGAGAGGCAGGAGAACTGTGGTTCTTGCCCACTCTTCACGTATGGTAGGACTGTGAACAGTGGCAATGAACCACAGCTCATGAGAAGAGAAAACTCCCTGGAAAAGACCCTGGTGCTGGGAAACTGTGAAGGCAGGAGAAGGGGACGAGAGAGGACGAGATGGATGGACAGGGTGATCGAAGGGACCAACATGAATCTGACCCAACTCCAGGAGGCAGTGAAAGACAGGAGGGCCTGGTGTGCTCTGGTCCATGGGGTCATGAAGAGTCGGACACGACTTAACAACTAAACAACAACAATCCTAGCGGATGCCAGAAAAAGGAATATTGGATGCTATGCATTGCATGGTCTCTGTCTCCCTCTAGGGGCCAGTTCTGGTAAATATACACTGGAAACACACATAAATACTGTACATATTTCTGCGGTTTTTAATTTAATGTTTTCAGGTAGTGGATAAATGAAGCAGTGGATACTGATCTCATGGCTAGGAAGTCCTGATATATACTTTACACCTTGGTTACAGAGTCTTGCCAAGATTCCCTGGTGTGCCAGAGCCTTTCCCCACGGCTGGTTTTACTTTGAATTTATTTAAAATGTTAGATATTGCTCACCTGGCAATGTCTTCAGGGCTGTTTAGATACATATAGGAACAGAAGCTACCAATCAAATCATAAATGTTACACTCAAACCAAGTAAATCAGGCAAAATGGGATCAAGCTATTAGCTATTAAAATAATAGCTAAGAAGCCTCAATGAAACACAATGTAGCAGTGACAATGCAGGAATGGATTCCTGAAAAAAGAAGAAACTTATTTTAGCTATTTTATTGTGGAATGATCCCTGTCTGGAAGCAGGTACTCACACGTCATTTTTGTAAGTCCTGTCTCCTGCCCTGACCTCCAGAAGAAGGAGACTGTTTCCTTCATCACGGCCAGTTCAGGTGGCAATAGCTAGAATGTTGTGAAGACAGAATTAGAGATAGCCCATGATTAGAAGATGCAATTCCTTAACTACTGAAAGCATCTAAGTGCACTCACCTTGCAGAATCTTCAAATCAGCTGAAAAATGCAGAAGTAGCGAATACTATACACATGGCATTGTCTTGGGCTGCCTCTAGTGGCTCCTTCTGATAAATGCACTGTGGCAGATGCATGACCTATTTCTGCGTTTTTTTGTTTACTATTTTCAGGCAGTGGGTCAATGAATCCGCAGATGCTGATCCAGCGGATAAGGGGGTCCTGCTGTATATAAAGCTAGCGTGTCAGGGGATGCAAAGCTAGACACCTTTTGTTTGACTTGCAAGCAGGGAGTTCTTTTACGCAGGCAATTAAGAGGATTGGGTACGAGATAGAAAGCTTAGAAGCCCATGGACTGGTTTCAAGTCTCACGGCTGCCTTGGGCTCTCCAGGTGGCCTGGCCTTGATGGGAGAAGCCTTTTCCAAGTGTTGACTGTCTTGTTCTCTCCTCCTCGCTGCCTCCATCCCGTCCCTCTTCCTCCAGTTCGTTGCCACAGGTATCCTTTTGATCGGCGTCCTGGCTATCAACGACACAAAGAACGCGGCCGCCCTTCAGGGCACCGGTGCCTTGATCACTGGGCTTCTAGTCATGGCGATCGGCATGTCCATGGGAATGAACACTGGCTATGCCATCAACCCTTCCAGGGACCTGCCCCCGAGGATTTTCACGGCCATTGCTGGATGGGGGCCAGAGGTCTTCAGGTGAGGACATCTCCCCACCTCCAGAGGTGGGCAACGGCGACCCTCCAGGTTTTTCCACACCCAGCTTCCTATAATCCCCCCACCCCTGTACAAGCCTTAAAACATCCAGGGAGGCAGGGCTACCCACCCCGCTCGGTTGCAACTCCAGTTCCTTCCTTTATACCCAGATTTAATTTGGATCAACAATCATTATTTGCCTTTCCAGCTTGCCTGATACCTTGAGTGCAAAGGTGGCAGCAAACATTTGCCAATTTTTTTAAAAAAATGCAAAACAAAAACCCCACAACATTGCAAAAACAACAACCCGCAATTGCAGAGACTGGTTGATGTTCAGTTCCAGTCTGATTCAAGGAAGGGACCCCTGCTTGAGACTTCAGAGGGAGGGAGGCAGTTGGGCCACAGAGCTTGGCTACAGAGACCAACGATCTGGCACACGGTAGATGAGATTTGCTGTACAAATGATTAAGAGAAGCGTTCCGGTGGATTGCATGGGAGGCGCCTGGGCATAAGCTACTGAAAGTACGAAGGGCAGAACGCAGCTTCCTGGGTTCTGCTGAGGAAAGCAGGAAGCCAAGCCAGATGCCGTCAGCAAAGTTTGGCACTGTTCTGTGGTTTCCCCCGTCCTGACGGTCCAAGCGTAGCAGAGAATGAACAGGTTCCTAGCTCTTGTGGAGGGAAAAAGCAAATGAACCTCCTGAACAATGTTAAGTGAGACAGCAGAAGTGTGCCATTTCTTTAAAAAAATGCAAAACAAAACAAACTCGTACAACAATGCATCAATGCAATGGTGCCTTTTCTTTTTCTATCCCATTGGGAAAGGCTTGTATAAAAGTGCAAAGCATGAAGCTTACATTGATGGGACATTTCATCATATAACAATAATGGTAACAATGATAATAATAATCCTGGAAACGGCAGAGCTGGAAGGGACGTCTAAGGAGTCCAGAGCCTGTCAAGGAGGCCCAATGGGGGGGAATTCGAACCCCCAACTTTTGGCTCCGCAGCCAGAGACTTCAACCCTTGGGGAGGGATTCGAACCCCCAACTTTTGGCTCCGCAGCCAGAGACTTCAACCCCTGACCTCTCCAGCTCTATGAAGTTCTGGCCGAGTGTCCAGGAGCAGAACCGATGAGAGAGACTCCCAGAGAGTAAAAACACCTTTGCGGGGCTGTCTCACGTGCGAGGTGCGTCGAGGGCCTGGCTCCTCTCGACCGCAAGACCTCGGGGCAAGTGGATACAAATTGTGAGAAAAGAGATTTGGATTAAACCTCGGGAAGAATTTCCTGACTCTAAATGACCGCCTCAGCAGGTGGTGGGCTTTCCTTCACTGGAAGAGGACAGCAGTGGCATGGCCATCAGTCGGGGAAAATTGCATGTGGCATGCCAATTCTGACTTACAGCGACCCTTTTTCAGTGTTTTCCAGATAGAGGATGCTCAGAAGTGGTTTTCCCATTCCCTTCCTCTAGGGGGAGCCCTGGGGCTCTGCAACTGGCCCAAGGCCACCCAGGCTGGCTCTTCTCCTAGAAGGCCCAGTCAGGAATCAAACTCCCAACCCTCTGGCTGTGTAACTGGGACTTACTAACCAGTTCAGCCAGAGACGGTTTAGCCATGGATTTCCTAAAAGCACAGAAAATTAGGTACTTAGGAAGACATGCATGGTCGGCAGTGAGGGCGGTGGATTAGATCACTGGTTCTTAACCTTGGGTTACTCAGGAGTTTTGGACTGCAACTCCCAGAAGCTTTCACCACCAACTGTGCTGGCTGGGGTTTCTGGGAGGTTTCAAAGTTCAAGGGAACCAGCTTTTAGCTTTTAACAATAATAAACGCATGCCATCAAGTCAATTCTGACTTATGGAGACTCTTTTCAGTGTTTTCCAGGGAGACAATACTCAGAAGTGGTTTGCCATTGGGGCTGTGTGCAGCTGGCCCCCCGGCCACCCAGGCTGGCTCTTCTCCTCTTAGGCACACTGGGGGAATTGAACTCCCAACCTCTGGTTCTACAGCTGGATACCTAGACCACGGAGCTATCCAGCAGGCATATTTTAGCTTTAGGAGATTAAAAGCTAATGCATACTGCCTCCAAGTGTTCAACGAAGCAAACGGAATCGCCCTCCTGGCCGTGCTGCCTTCACTGGTGCTTATTTCTACAACCCACTGAACTCACCTTTTCTTTTTCCCCCTCCCCAGAGCTGCGAATTGCTGGTGGTGGGTCCCTGTGGTTGCCCCAACCCTGGGGAGTTTGGCTGGAATCTTCATTTACAACATTCTCGTTGACTTTCACAATCGGCCTCGGCCCAAATCGGAATCGGCCTGCGAATGCGGCGAATGCAGGAAGGAAGACTTGGAGGCGGGAGCGACGGCTGAGGCCCAGCTGTGAAGCCGCAGCTCCCATAAAACCGACGCTGGAGCTGCCATCCTGTGACCAGACTGGACGCTTCTGAGCTCCCGGGTCGGACATCAGGGAGAGCCGCCCTAAGTACTTAACGATACATCAGCGAAACAGAGCAACATTTCCGAATGACAAGGGAGGGGAATGTTTATAGTGGGCAGAATGAAAGGAGGCTGGATTGAACCAGTGTGCTGTGCCAAGCAATTGTATGGGAGTCGCATCTACCACTAAGCATTGCCAGATAATGTACGTGGTCTTGAATGTCAGGATGCCCTCAAGAGCCTTGCCAAAATCCTTTTAGGGAAGAGTTTGCAAACTATCGGCCGTTAAGCAGGGCAGCTTCAAAAACGAATGGGGTAGATACATTCACTGCTCTGTGACCCCTAAGACCAGAGGCAAGGGGAGGGGGGGTGCCTCTCCCACGAATACGTGGCTTCTAGCCCCTTGTCCTACCATCTGGGCAGCGAGACTGGCCTGAGCGAAGGCATCAGTCTGTGCCGGGAGTCCCCGAGGTAGTGGCCGTCCAGGAAGAAGGCGGCCAGCGATAGGTAGTCCCTCTTGGGGAAACACCTTCCCCGTTCTCGAGTTATGATGGACAGGGCAAAAAAGGGAGGTTGTGAGGTAGCTTGGTCACTGCGTCGGCTTAGGCAGGCTGCACAAACTCAGGGCATGTTCAGAAAAAAAGGGGAATGATGGCGAGTCCCCTCTTCCTAGGAATCTCCGGGGAGAAGAGCTGGAAGTCGGAATGGCCGTGGCAGGTCACAATTCCAAGGTTCTTGTGTTAGACTGCGATGTCTTGAATTGCCGGCAATCGATCTCTGCCAGGTGGACCCCCTTTGCCAAGGAGAACAGCGCCTACCGCTGGTTTGCAGCTGGTCCTCAGAGGTCTGGCTTGAAAGCTTGCCCATGATGGGATTCCCTTGTGGAATCACCTGTCCATTAGATCTGCGGTCGGCTCTCCGAGAGGTGATCGTTGCCAAGCGAGCCTCCCTCGTTTCTCCAACTCTGGAGTGAATCAGGGGTGATTTGCAGGCAGTGGACACAACTCTTGACACTGTGTTGTGGGGCTTCCATCAGCGGCTACCACCATGTTGCCATCATCCCTGCTCATGTGTTCAGTCTATTTTTGCCCTGCAAACTGTGACAAACAGCTGAGTGGCTGGATTCAGGCGTGATTTGGTCTTGGATCTGAATGCTAAACACTCTCCCCTGCACCTCCCCACGCCACAAGGGCACCCCACCTCCCCTGAGCATGGCTACTTTTTCTGTGCACATTTATTCCAGGGATGGGGAGCACGTGGGCCATACGCGGTTCCCCTCTTTGGGACCTCCTCTCAAGTCACGGTTCTCCAACTGAGCACGCAAGGGCCCAGCCAGATTTCAGCAGCTGTCAGAGAAGAGCCCGTGAAAAGCGAAAACAAAAAAAAACCCCACACTCACTTTATCCATTTGATTCTGATTGCAGCCTTGTGGCACAGCAATTAAAGTGAAGTACTGTAGTCAAGACTCTGCTCACGATCCGAGCTCGATCCCAAGAAATTTAGGTAGCGGGCTTGAGGTTGGCTCAGCCTTCCATCCTTCCGAAGTTGGTAAACGGAGAACTCAGCTTGCTGGGGGGGCAATGTGTAGAGAGTACTCAGCTTGCTGGGGGGTGGTGGTGGTGCAATGTGTAGCCTGCATCATTAAATTGTAAACTACCCAGAGGGTGCTTTAAGAGCTATGGGGTGGTATATCAGCAGCAGGCTTTGCCTTTTTTTTTGCTTTGACCGCTGTTGAATTTTAGCAAGGGCAGGGGTGTATTTGGGCTGTGATGGCAATGGGCTTGGGGTGCAAAGCCCACTCCTGGACCTGCTGATGTCCCCTTCATTCTTGTTGGGACCTCATTACTTGTCAAAGCCCCTTTCTGCAAGAACATTAGCCCGCGTCACCATATCCTCCCAGGTTACGCTCCTATGGGTTGCTACACCAAGAGAGGCCAGAAAAACGTCCACCAGAAACTGGGCCTTCTCACTGGTGGCTCCAGTGCTTTGGAAGTGGCTACCAGTTGATCTGCGCCTGGCCCCCTCCCTCCTTCCCTTGAAGAGGTTGCTTAAGACGATGCTCTTTACGGAGACATACAATGGCGCCTTCCGTTGAATTTAGCCAATTTGTGCTGCCCGTCCAATTATGGTATGATGCTCTTGGTCTGTTTGACTTATGATGTTTTGACTTGATTTTATTATCTTACTGTACCCTTTATTGTTTATTTTTATTGCTATTATCATTGTGCTTCCTTCCATTTGACCATGTCAGGGCCTAGCACTAATCAGGTGGTATGAACGTTTAATAAATAAACAAGCACACAAACAGATCGATCAGATACATGGGAGTGGGCCCAACAAGAGCACCAGCGTTGCTCTCTCCCATGGACTCTCTCTTCCTTGGCCAACCGCGGCAAGATTCACTCTAGGATGGGAGCAGATCCCCCCCCCCCACAGAGCCCCTCATGAAAAGACATTCAAGCAGAGACTTCCAACTTCTGAAACAAACGCTTTCAAATAAATATCTTGGTCCAGTTCCCACAGAGCCAGGCATTCGCCAGTCCTTGTGTTCTTGATCAGTAGACCGAAAGGGCCCTGGGGGAACAGGTATAGCCTGGAGCGTCATGGGAAAGTCAGGGCTGAGGTTCGCGTCTCCTTGATGAGCTTCCAGCCTGCGGTGGGTTCCTCGGGGCCGCCCCCGTTTGCCCCTTCTGGGAGGGGGTCGGCTGGGCCGGCAGCTTCTTCTTCAGGACCGGAGTCTTGTTTTTGGTTCGAAACACTTTGTTGGGGTCCAGCTTGTTCACGAACGAATCGGCTTCCTCGGAGAGCTGTTCCGTGTTGATGGTGATGGGTTTGTACATGTTGAACCATTGCTGGCCGGAGCAAGGGAGGGAAAAAGGAGAAGAATGGGACGTTAAGGTGAGGAGCAGGGCCAGAATCCCACTGGCTCACACCGTGGTGTGAGGGCCACGGAGTGACTTTTCCCACCCTCTCCAGCACCTTTTCCTTCGCACAGTGAGACTGTGAAATTGGGGACGCAACTGATCAAGGGAAGGGCCACCCACCAAAGGAGAAAAAAAACCACACACACTGGGTGACTGTTTTTATGCACACAGTTCAGAGGTAAAAAGATGCCTAGGAATTTGCACAGAGGCTACCTTAAGGTAGAGCTTGGAAAAGTTACTTTTTCGTACCACCATTCCCAGAATCTCCACGCTGGCTAGGACCCTGGGGGGGCGTTTTAACGTTTCTCTTCGCTGGTAGGAGGGAGCAGTCCAAATCATCCCCAGGGGCTCCCGGGGTGTCTCCCTGCAGTGAAGACGGAGGGAGGGATGAGGTGGCCACCCGGAGGCCGAGGGCTGCTCTAGCTCAGCCCAGCCCCCTTTTAAGGCAAGCTGCCCATCTGATGATAAAAGCTATTTGAAGTTTAAGAAGTTGTTAGCTTGCCCAACTATTTGAGGATAGAGCTTAAGACCTTCCAAGTAGCAGGGAAGACACGGCGAGGCTGTTTCAAGGTTTGGCAGCTGACTCTTTATCTGCCGGCTGGGTGGCAGGAGGTTGGTTACGGGGCTCAAACAGGCAAGGTAGGGTCGATGAGCTCAGCCATAAAAGGGCCTTGCTTGGAATGCCCCAAATCTCATGCTGAAACTTTGGCTGACTCCCTGAATCCAAACGATACCCCCTTCAGTGTCCTGCCTGTCTTTCCTGGCAGAAACCCAGGAGATGTCTTACCCCTGCTTGATACTATCAGAGAATTTAAAAACAAACAAACTCATCTTCTTGGCTGCATCACAGCCACCAGGACTGGTACTCTGTATTAGACAGTTTTCACCCACCTGAAATATCTGTGGAAAGGAAGAAGGCTTGCCTGACTTACGCAAGTGAACTTCGCACCCCTTCTTCACTACATTTTGATTCGAATTCTCTCCCGTTTTAAGTAGGTGTGCTTTGAACCTTTGGGTACTCTGTATTATACAGTTTTCACCCACCTGAAAAATCTGCAGAAAGGAAGAAGGCTTGCCTGACTTATGCAAGTGAACTTCGCACCCCTTCACTACATTTTGATTTGAATTCTCTCTCGTTTTAAGTAGGTGTGCTTTGAACCTTTGAACCGTTCTAACTAGGTCAAGCAGTTGTCTTAAGCTTCTTCCATCGGCTGACTCATTCTCATGCAAATAATACCCGCACGGCAATCCAGGAACGACAGGAACGCAGGGAGCAGCCTTATTACGGAATCGAACCCTTAGCCAACCTAGCCTTGCGGTTCCGCTTCTGACTGGTACCCAGACCTCTCTCTGAGCCCTACCTGGAGGTCTCTGGTATTCGCGGTTGGTCTCCCATCCAAGTACTAACCAGACCTGACCCTGCTTAGCTTCCCAAACCCCTTAAGAGGGCTACATTCAGGGTGCTTTGGTGATCATGGAGATCCACTTTTAATTTGCAACAGAATTGTGATCAAAACTCCCTGTGTCAGAGAGTTCATCGCTAGAGAAGTCTGCCTCTACAGCTCTCAAATGCTCTGATTTCACACATATTGGCATACAGGGACGTACTTTTCTGGGTTGATTCCTGTCTTCATGATGCATGGCTTACCGGGTTCAAGGCTTAGAGGAGAGAGGTTTGCCGGCAGACAGGGTGAAGCCCTGGGAAGTGATGGGACAAGCAGTGGCTGATTCTCTCACCTTGGCCTGGGGACTGATGCCGTAGCTGGTGAAGGCGTACTGCCACTGGGGGAGCCCGAGGTTCGTGATCAGGAGCCGGTAGTAAGCGGTGAAGCTTTTGGTGAGGAAGTGCCAGTACAGCGCCTGATCCAGAAACCAGATCTCGGAATCTGGGGCGACAACTGGAACAGAGAGCGGAGAGGTAAAAAGCGCCCCGCCGGTGGAGAAGCAGGGCTTTTATCCCCATTTCAAGATGTCTGTAAGAATCTCTGGGCCCTCGGCTGGTGCGGGCCTATCCGGGCAGGATCCACCGGAAGCCACGAGGGCCTATCCAGGGCAGGTGACGAAGGGAAAAAGGTGCGGGTGGAGGAAGGAATTTTGGCACTAAAAGGCAGGCGAGGCTGGGTGGAGCCAGACCTCACCAGGGCTCGGACGCCACAAGCAGGCATTCTGGAAGGACGACTCTCTGCCCAGGATCTTACCAAGTTTCTGCTGAGCAGAAAACCCGGCTAGAGTCATCGAACAGGACGGTGCCGCTTGTGCAACTGTTGCTGTTGTGCAAGCACTGACCTCCGGTCGAAAATATACGCTCCTCCTGCACGGGAGCAAAGCTTACGCAAGCCCCGTGATGCTGTGTGTATTAGGCTGGTGGGGCTTTCCCTGCTGTGGCACTTCCACAGGATACAGAGTGGCGACATCAGAGGCTGGGAGTAACTGAGGACATCTTCTCCGACCCACCCGCTTGTGCCTTCAGGAAAACCCCCGGGCTATCTCCAATTCAGGGGTTCCCGCTTTGTACCCCTCCACCTTCCAATCGGACAATGAGGAATGTGGGGGAAAAAGGGACGCCACCCATCTAGAGAGCAGCAGAGGACTCCGACCTGTTCTGTGCAGAGAATGTGGAGACGGGGGTCCACAAGAGGAAGGCGGAGGAGAGTCTGTCCCGGGGAGGGTCTTGAAGGGCGGATCGTCCCTCTGGTCGGGTGCAGGTCACCAGATCGATCCTGGGCTCCTGGGACCCAAACCTTCCCCCGTCTCGGCTTTAGAAATCCTTAGGAGCCATCTGAGCCATCCCAGAAGGGTGGATCGATGGGTGGGCTACCTGTGCCATCAGGAGTGTTGGCTTGTTGCTTGGCTGGCACTCAAGCCCCAGACTCTCGGTGTCTGGCGGCAGCTTCGATAGGTCTGGGGCCCCTATGTTTTGGCCCCGTCCCTTCCATGTTTTGACCCCGTTCCAAGATTTGGGGCAAACCACACATCCTTCCAAAATGTAAATTTCAGGCACCTTTGCAAGAATGTTGAGGGACTGGTTAATTTCCTTCTAGTTTTGAGCCCACACACTCCCCCTGGCTAGGCTCTGCACCTCGCTCTGAAGCAGAACAGCTGTTGGACTTTTCTAGGAGCAGCAATTCTCAACACCAGTCCCCCCTATCATGGGGTTTGGTGTGTATGAGAAGATCCTAGACCTGCCAAGATGGATTTGGGATGGTACGATTCCTACTCCTAGAACATGGGGAGGGAGCAGGGGCCTCTCTTCTACGGCGCTGGCCGAAAGCATTCAGTGGTCGGCTGTCACAAGGGCTGGGAAATGCCTCAGAGGCGAAGGGGGGGGGATCAAATCACCAGGTCTGAGGAGAGAGTCATCCGGTTGTTCCTAGCAGGAGGCAGAAGCAAGGATGGGTAGGATAGGTCCTGCCCCCCCCAGCCTGGTTTTTGGGGCTCCAGAAGCAGGATCTTGTGGCCCTGCCTACGTTTGATTGCTTTTGTTGCGATGTCGGTCCTCAGGCTGGGTAGAGTGGTCTAAGGTGATGAGGGGGAACATTAGGGTAAAAGGAATGGGTACATACATGGATGTCCAAATTATAAATGAGAGATGGAAGTCTCAGGATGTAGAAAACAGAATCAGGTTCTTTATTCTTTAAATGGGTTGTTAAAAAGCTCTGGCTCAATGCATTTCGGCAAAACCTTCTTCAGGAGCTAAAGAAGAAGGCGGCTTTGTCGAAACGCATTGAGCCAGAGCTTTTTAACAACCCATTTAAAGAATAAAGAACCTGATTCTGTTTTCTACATCCTGAGACTTCGCCGGGAACATTAAGAGTGCCTGGAGGCAGCAGAAGGAGAGCTACAGAGAAGGAATAAAAAGAGGAACATGGTCAGGGAGAAGCCTCGCTGTCGGCCCTTGTAGAGCGAGACGGCGACAAGGCGAGGGGAGCAACTTAGAGGAAGGATGGCCGAGGATGCAAGGAGAGAGACCTCACTGTTTCCGGGCAGGATTGAATAATAAAAAAAAGGGGGGGCAGTGCCTGGGTGTCTGGTGTCCAGAACTGTACCTGGCTTGGTATTCTTGTACACAAGGCAGACTCTTCCATTCCCTCCACAGGGGTCCAGCTCAAATATCAGGCTACGAGAGTCCAAGTGAGGCTTCTCCGGGTGGTCGCTATCGCCTTGAAGAGAAAAAGGCCAAAAAAGAGAGGTTGACCCAGGATTTCTTGGCATCTGGATATTGGGAAGTGGGGTTCAGGTTACAAAGGACGTCACGGGGAAAGTAAGAAATATGGAGGAAGCAGAGGGATACCAAAGGGGGGGGGAGAGGACCTCCAGGCTTGGAGGGGGATGATGTACCTCCTTCCTCATCCGTGTCCTCCAAATCGGCAAGGGTGGGAGCGTTGGGCAAGGTGTACACAGAGGAGGACCCAAGACGGTTCAGCCTGGAGATGCTGTTGATAGTCATGGAGCCCAGGGGCACAGGATGGTCTGGAAGGCAGAGAGTCAAAACCGGGTGGCTAAGCAGATGCCGCAAATCCACCTTGAAATGATGTGAGATTGGACGGAGAATCACAACTTTCCTTTCCTTTTTAATAAGCAGATTCCTAGTTCCCTGAACCAGAAAAGTCTGCTAGAAAGCATGGGGGGGGGAAAATATCTTCTTCTGAACAACTTTGGCTAAATACGTTTGTCTGTTAGAATTGGGAACGACCTTGTCCATCTTTGTATTCTCAAAGGCTTTCACAGCTGGGATCCGATGGTTGTTCATACTGAAGCAGTTATATTGCTTCAGAGGACAGGAGTTAGAACTCTGTGTTCTGGTGTAGTGTATGGGATAGTTGAGTATTTGTAGCTGTGGGATCAGCTTTTTGTCCCTTTCAGGAAATTGGGTGATTGTGGTGATCATGGTGTTTTTTGTTGTGGGTGTATTGGTGTGATAAGGGGGAGAGGTTATCTGTCACTGTGATTGATGGCTGAACAGGACAAAAGTTGATCCCACAGCTATAAATACTCAACTATCCCACAAACTGCACCAGAGCACAGACAGACTTCTGACTCCTGTCCTCTGAAGATGCCGGCCACAGAGACTGGCGAAAGGTTAGGAAGAGAAACCTCCAGAATGTGGCCAAACAGCCCGAAAAACCTGCAACAACCAAGTTGTCCATCTTATTTATTTAAAATATTGTTACCCCACCTTAAAAAGGAGAACCAAGGCAGCTTACATCATTATAATACGGTATTTTAATTATCATGATTGAGAGTCCATGAATGCCTTTTTTTTTAAAAAAAGCTAAACAAGTTTTAAACATTTACTTCTTTTTTTTATTCAGTTGTATTTTAATTAGCATATAGTTTAACTATTTTTTTAAATGTTTAACTTCTAATGCTTTTAATTCTATTCTTTTTAATATTGTCAGCTGCTTTGTGTCCCCTTATCGGGGGAAAAAGACAGCCTATAAATAAAACAAATCAAAAAATGCGTAAATATTAAAAGCTAACAACACTGAGTATACAAATACCTTTTTTGCTTTAAAAAGGATCAAACAAATACTATACTAAAAACATAAGCAACACCAAAACACCGTCATTTATGAGACCAGAGGGACTGGGACTTCAACTTTCCATGAAGGCAGCCTATTACATACAGAAGCAGAGAGAACGAAGGAGTTTAGAAAGTTACTTTAAAAAAGTAAAAAGTTACTTTAAAAAAGTAATTGGTTAGCATTACAGTGCTAGGTCCTAGTAGACAGTTACATTATAGTTAAACATTTCAAAAAGGAATTTTTAATTTTCTCCTTATTCAAAAGCAATTCACATAGCTACGCTTTGGTTATTTCGGAGAAACCCATCAAATGCTACCTGCTGCTCTCATTTGTGGGGTGAGATACATCTCTACAGGAAGGTCACATACTCTGTAACTATAAAACAGTTACCAACTGAAATACAGTGGTGCCTCGCTTAGCGATTGCTCCGTTTAATGACAAAATCGCTTAGCGACGACTTTTCCGAAGCGTTTTCGCGCTTCGTTTAATGATGGTCCCTATGGGCGATTTTCGCTTAGCGATGGTTGGTACCATGCTTCGCATAGCAATTAAATTTTGGGTCCCCTGTTTCGCTTAACGATGGTTTAAATAGCCTCATGTTTGCTGTTTTTTAAATGTTTTTCTGTTATTTATAAAGTTAAAGTTTACTGTGTAAAAAGTTTGAAATCATAAAGTGCACTTAATAAACCCTTTGTTAACCAAATTTGACATTGTTCTGACTCTTTTTAAATTTGTTGCTGTATTTTTTCCCCCATTGAGATGCATTGAATAAGTTTCAATGCATTTCAATTGGGGAACCGACAGGAGTTAGAACTGTGTGTTCTGGTGTAGTGTGTGGGATAGTTGAGTATTTGTAGCTGTGGGATCAGCTTTTTGTCCCTTTCAGGAAATTGGGTGATCATGGTGATCAGGGTGTTTTTTGTTGTGGGTGTATTGTTGTGATAAGGGGGAGAGGTTATCTGTCACTGTGATTGATGGCTGAACGGATTGGAACGGATTATCCGGTTTTCAATGCATTTCAATGGGAAACCACGTTTCGCTTAGCGATGAAATCGCTTATCAGCAATTTTTGGGGAACGAATTAACATCGCTAAGCGAGGCACCACTGTAAGTGGAATTACATCCTCCTGTTATTACAATTGTAAGGTAACTTAGTTACACTGTAGTTGTTGCAAACAGGAATTTATTTCAAACAACTCATTACTGGGAAACGTAAGGTTAAATGAAATCTCAGACTTGCAAAAATGTTCCGATACAACCTGCCACCCTTACTGAATTCAGAGATGGCAATCCAGAATGTAACTTGAGGGAAAAGTAACTTGAGGCCAAAGCCTGGCAGAAGAAAGGAACAAGGCAGGCTTACCGTCGACCTTGACGCTCCAGGTCATGTGGAAGCCATCTGTCATCAGGTAGAAACTCTTCAAATCCTCCGGCAGGACGCAGGCATTCTTCTGCAAGGAATGGCAAAGGGTTAATTAAGGGTTAGGGATGCCGTCAGTAGGGTGCCAAGCAAGAGCCATATTGCACGTCACCACAGAGCCTCTGTGGAGTCCGGCAAACCGCCTGCCCCTAGGATGGACCCTGTTCACTGGCTCTCTGAAACAGGGCTGGTGGGGCCCCGCCACATTCCACAATAAAAACCAACATATATTCAAAACATATATTTAGGATGATGTGGGATGAAGTGTTTCAAGTACAGCAGGATGCCCGTATCCACAGGAGCAGTATCCACGGATTCACTTATCTGCGGTCTGAAAACATTAAAAGTGTTCAAAGAAAAATTCTAGAAATACATATTTAAAAAGGTGACGTTACTAGAACTGGCCCCGAGAGGGAGCCAGAGACCACACTATGTGTAGTATAGCATTCACTATTAAAATAGCATTCGCTATAATCCATGTTTTCCAGCATCTTGGTTTGTTGGAGGGCAGAAGGCCTTAGAACCAATCCCCTGCGGATAGCTGTGTCCTACTCAATGCTCAATGGTCTCTGCCTGTATTAATTCTGTGTTACCCCGCCTCCTCTCCCTTTCATCTAATACATAGGCAATACATTCTTTGGAGCAAGGTCCAGCCTATTCGTATTACTGCTGTTCTGTTGCCCTATGGAGAACTATGAATGTTGACGAGCTTTCTCCAAAACTGAACCCATTGCTTCCATAGCAGCTGCCGCCCCTCCCACTCCCCCGGAATGACCGTTCTTTGTTCCCTTGGTTAGAGGAGAGAGGAATCCACACCGATGGTCTCCATTAGAGATGGGCATGAACCTCAGTTTTGAGGTTCGTGCTGGTTTGTGTGTTTCCTTCCCTTTCTGGCCAGCTGACATGCTCTTCTATATTCCTCCTCTTCGGCTGCTCAGCTGAAGAGGAGGAGGAGGAGAGGAGCATGCATCGGCTGGTGAGTGGGGGAATCCAGCTGGGGAGGTGGGGGACGGGAACACGCGGCGCCTGCACTTACGAACCGGCACGAATCTCCGAACTGAGGCTTGTGCCCATCTCTAGTCTCCATCAAGCTCCTGCATGACAGCAGCTGCTGCGTTGTTCCCCTGCCTCTCTGTGCAATCCGGCTTGCAGCTCCTTCTCATCCAGTTCTGAATGCAGCCCCAGGCTTTTCCATCAAGGAATCAGGAATAAGACTCTACACAATCTGCCCCCTGGTTAGTCAGGGGATGGCTTAACAAAAGGAACACCCCCCCATTCCAAAGCACAAAGCGTCTTGCTTTGCCATGGTGGTGGTGGTGGGGGGTGAGATTTCTTTGGTTTACATTAGAATGCTAGAATGGAAAGGGGCGAATCACCTTTGCTACGAAGGCAGCTCAGATAACTCCACAAGATATAATCAAGAGACGACCTTGAGATCTCTGGGGCCGTGTTTCCAAGCCCTGGCGTAGGGTACAGGGTACGTGCAAAAATATCTGCACAGTGAAAGAGTCTCTGGACTTCGCTTTAGCTCACGGAGCGGAGGAGCCTGTCCAGAGACCCTTCTTGACCATAACCAGCAGCCTAGCAGTGGTTTCAAAGGCATTCCTAGAATGCCAGATTGAAGTGACCCTGGACAATGACCGCCAGGGCCAAGAGGTCCAGGTTAAGAGATGGGAACAGGCGTCTCCTGGAGGGACAGGAAGCTCTGGCCCCTCTGGTTCCTGGGGGTCTTCTTCTGCCTGGCTTAGAAACAGTCAACGTTTTCAAGCCCATTCCATCGGCTGCCTCCTTTACTCCTCAATGGGGCGGGGTATTCTCTCGTGTAGAGGGAAGGTGAAGATCCTTTTTGTTCACTGTAAAAAAAAATGCTCCTGTTTCTCTTTAGGAGATCGAGAAATGGAAGAGCCAAGGCTTCTTCATGCAGGGAGAAAAGGGGGTATGGAGAGAGTGTCATCCAGTTTTGGTTTTACCTGCGGGGCAGCTGCTAAAGCCCCAGGTGCCCTGCCCTGCCAGAAGGTTTATTGGCACTCCCGCGGGCGATCCTGCCCCTCCTGAACGTTTTGGTCACAGGCCCTGCTGCTCACAGGCAGTTGAGCATCCCTTCAAAAGGCCCCCTTGGGTGCAGGCTATGCCACGTCAGATTGCAGATGTGGTTTTGGATATTCGATCGATACCTTCCGTAAAAATGGAATTGTCTGCACAGGAAGAACCAGCCTGGGCAAAAGGAGGGTTCCAGCTAGCATTCTTTCCTAGACATGGTACAACCCAGAGTTGAATTTTTCTATTAAATATCTTGTGGTTGGCACACAACAGAAGCTAAAGGTTTCTCCAGTACTCATTTTTGTGGGGCAAAAATGCACAAAAGCTTCTTAATTGGTGCGGAGTGAATTTCCCCCTCTTGTCTTTGAAAACTAACTCAGCCAGGTTTTATGCTCCTGTTTGTCCAGATGATGCTAAAAACCTGATGATAGTGATAATTTCACTAACATTACCCCAGGAAATGCAATTTGGCTGGTAACAACAAGGATTTATTTCGACCCGAGGCAGGGGTGCCAGGGTGTGCCTATTTTTACCCACAACTGTCTCTGGATCGTGTTTGTAAATTCTTTTCGATGAAAGAAGATGTAAAGTAGAAGCAACAGATATCAAGCCAGATTTCAGTTGAATATCATGAAAAATCTCTTAACAGTTAGAGCAGTATGACAAGGGACGCAAAAACCTTGGAAAGTGCTGAGCATTCCAACGTTGGAGGCCTTCAAGAAGAAACTGGACCACCCCTTGGCAGATCTGCTTTGATTTGGATTCCTGCCTTGAGCAAGGGGTTGGGCTTGATGGCCTTCGAGGACCCTTCCAGCGCCATGATTCTATGATTCTCTGCTGAGGACATCCCTTTCATTTGTCATTAACTATTGTCTTTTTTGTAGTCCTTTACTTGGCCCTGACCTTCCATAACAACATTCCCACCATTTGCATTCAAGCATATATGGGCAGTGGTGGGGACAGCATGGGGCGGAGGGTGAACGGGACACTGCCCTCCCCCCACATTCTTGTAGGGCTGAGTCAAGTCTGACCCTTTGCCCTGTTATATCTACAACTTTGCACCAATCCAGCTGACTCTGTTAGGATTTGTGACACCCTTCCGCTGAGCTGCCTGTCTAACGGCCTGATGTCATTCTGGCACCCTGGATTACATGCTCCGAAAAGTCTGCCGTCTAAGCAAACAAATGGCAGAGCACACGTTCACAGCCAGAGAAAGCGTAGGCTGTGAAAGCCAGTGCCGCCGAAAGCCAAGTGCAACAGCAGGTGAGATTTTAATATTCCTTCCGTTTCACCAAGTGTAAATTCATCTGTAATGAATAAATGGAGGGAGAAATTCTAACGTCCTTCAGAATGGGTAACTTAGAACAGTTGACACACCTCTAAGCATACTGATAGGGGAATTATGGTATTTTAAACAGTTGAATCAACTCTGATAGAACAGAATGCACTGCACATAGTTAAACTGTGGAACTCACTGCCACAAGATGGAGTGATGGCCGCCAACTTGAACAGCTTTAAGCAGGGGTTAGAGAAATTCATAGAGGAAAAGGTCATTAATGGCTATTAGGATGGCTATAAAGTTCTTCCAGGATCAGGGCAGTGTGTCCCTGAACACCAGTCACTGGGGTCCATGTGCTCTTGGGGTCCATTTGTCCTGTTTCTGGTCAATTTATTGGCCACTATATTAACAGAAAGCGAGATTAGAACCATTGCAATGGATTAAATATTAGCCAAGGGTTCTGTAGCCATTACCAAATGCAAACTACTAAATAATGATCTTGTTGTCTGCTGCCATTTCCCTTTCCAACTAACCACAGTTGCCTTTACAGAATAAACTTCAAAAATACAGATAGTGATTCTTAGTTCACTAACACATGTTGTTTTTGCTGTTCTTTCTTTTACCCTCTAATCACTGTTGCTGTTTACAGAAGTTTAAAAAAAAAGGGGGGGACCCTGAATATCCAAAAGGAGTCCTAAATCATTACTAGGTGTGAAACGCAACTGGAATTTACCAACCACCACTATCTCTTTATGTTAGAGCTACATGTGAATGTTTTGCCATGCAGTCTCTGCATTCTCGCTCTTCTGTCTGAGGAAGTGGGCTTGATCCATGAAAGCTCACATTAAAATATAGCAGTTAGTCTTCCAGGTGCCGCAACATCTTTTCTTTCTTTCTTTCTTTCTTTCTTTCTTTCTTTCTTTCTTTCTTTCTTTCTTTCTTTCTTTCTTTCTTTCTTTCTTTCTTTCTTTCTTTCTTTCTTTCTTTCTTTCTTGGTCTTTCCTTCCTTCCTTCCTTCCTTCCTTCCTTCCTTCCTTCTTTCTTTCTCTCTCTCTCTCTTTCTCTCTTTCTTTCTCTCTCTCTTCCTTTCTCTCTCTCTCTTTTGCTTTGGTTTAATTGTGTGTTCCTTATCGGAGACCTTGCACAGACTGCCACCTTGAAAGCTAGATGAGAAAGATGTTTATTGACCACCAAAGTGTGGGAGGGTTAGATGGGTCTGTAGGTGTGATCCAGGACACCTCCTTCTGCATTACGATCTCATCTTTTGATGAACAAAGACAGATTCCCCTTGTACCTCCATGCCCATGTGCCACTCAAAAGCTTCAACCAGCTTTCCTCTCATCATCCAGAGATTAGCTGGCGAACAATTTAGGCCAAGCAGTTTTCTTATGAGCCTGCGGAGTACTGCTGCCATCTAGTGGGCCTGAGCAAAAATACTGATGAGATGAGCCGACTGCAAAACTTTCACCGTTCAGGAGCTGACGTCGTTCTGTTCTGAGAGACAGGATCTCATACTAGCTCATTTTTGATGACTCCAGTTTTAAGATGGGACAGATGGATCAAGTCCCCACAAGTTTTGATTTAAACCAAAAATTTAACCATGACTTGAGTCATTCCTCCATACTTTACAGTACTTGAGTTTTCATATGAAAAAGGGCACTCATGTTTTTTTAAAAAAATTACACATATTTTTCATAATCTCCCTGCTGTTTGTCTCCACTTCCAAGAATATTCCACCTAGTGTCTGAAAAATATGCATTTTAGAGAAAGAGGCAAATTTCGCACAAAACTGCAGAGGGACAATAGCTAAAACGGCAAGTTATAAATGAGTAAGTATCATTTACGGAAGCAATGGAAATAACCCTATATTTGTAGGGTTTCCAACACTCTTCTCATTCTAGGGGGGGAAAATAAAGCTTCAGGAATGACTTCAGTTAACTGAAAGACAGGTTTATTATTTCTCATCTCCCTATAAAACAATCAATCTTTGCAGGAACAAGAGCAAGGGGAATTCCATAATGACGGGCTGGATAGCTCAGTGAGTTAGGTGTCTGGCTGTGTGGCCAGAGCCCCACTGGGCCCCCCAGGAGAAGAGACAACCTATGTAACTTTGGGCAAGCTGCACAGTCCCAGGGCACCCCTCTGGAAGAATTTCTGAGTACTGTCCACCTAGAAAACCCTAGAAAGGGCTGCGGGAAGTCAGAATCGACTTGACGGCATACAGTTATTATTTATTATTATTACATAACGAGATCTCTGAGCTTTAACACATTTCAAATTGAAAGCTATCATGATATAAAACTTTGAAAACAAAACCATTTGAACAATTTTTTCTTAAAAATTAAATTGAATACCTTCATTTTTAAATTAATTGATGGTATTCAACCATCAATATTTGCTCAGAAAGTCAACGTGGGGTGGGGGGAAGAGGGGGAAACACACTGAGATGGCAGCATATCACCGCTTTAAACACAGTGAGGAAGGAAGACAGATTGTAGATAAACAAGCAAGGCTAGTTGCAAGACGAATTTTGAAGACCGTATGGTTTACAAAATATTCCTGGCCAACTAAAGAGACAGAAACATCTGCTCCAGGTTCTAAAACTAGAGATCTCTTCTTCAGGTGAGAAATCATAAAAGGCAGAGGGCCAGGGAAATGTAGTCTGGGAGCATGGCAAAAGGTAGGCTTGAAATGTGCTGCTCTTAGGGTATGATTAGAATCATGAAGTTAGAAGGGGCCTCTAAGACTGTCAAGTCCAAGGCTTGAAACCAAGTCAAAGCAGATCTGACAAGGTGGCTGTCTAATTTTCTCTTGAATGCCTCCAGCGTTGGAGCACTCACCACCTCTCGAGATCATTGATTCCATTGTTTTACTGCTCTAACGGTCAATAGGTTTTTTCTGATCAGGGTATGATTAGAATCATGAAGTTGGAAGGGGCCTCTAAGACTGTCAAGTCCAAGGCTTGAAACCAAGTCAAAGCAGATCTGACAAGGTGGCTGTCTAATTTTCTCTTGAATGCCTCCAGCGTTGGAGCACTCACCACCTCTCGAGATCATTGATTCCATTGTTTTACTGCTCTAACGGTCAATAGGTTTTTTCTGATATTCACCCTAAAACTAGCTTCCTGTAACTCATTATTACATGTCCTGGACTCTCGGATGATCAAGAACAGATCCTGCTCTTCCTCTGTATGACTCCTTCCATATATTTGAAAAGTGGTATCATGTCATGCCCAGTTCTTTCAGTCTTTCCTTACAGGGCTTGGTTTCCACACACCCCCCCCCGATCATCCTTGTTGCCCTCCTCTGGACAGGCATGGGGGTTGCGGAATTCATGGACTACAGCTGCCGGAAGTCCACAGGAATTTGCCAGGCCAGCAAATTCTCGGGGATTTAATCAAGAAACCAAAGTCCTGACAGGCAATTTCAATTTCTTAAGCTAATGAATTCAGACTCTGCCTGCCATTTTCATCCTGTGGAGGAAAGGAATTGGCAGGGCTAAGCTCCATGGGAGCTACAAGGGATTATGGGTCTGACAGTTTTCTTGAGAGGCTTCTTGTGTAGACCCTCAAGGTCAGAGGCTAACACACCTATAATGCCTTGTAGCTCACAGTGAGTGAGTGTCTCAGGCTCTCTAGTTGTTAGGGTCAGCAGCTTTCACTCTGAACGGCCCCCTAGGATGGTGGGCAACTGGAAAAGCAACAGGACCCAAACAAATTTGATCCCCGTCTCTCAAAACCCCATAGAAACAAACCCCCTTGAAAATTCAACCTATTTATACCTCCTGCAAAGCTTGTCAACTTCTTTATGAGGAAGGAGCAGAGAAGGGGTATATATGCTACCCGGGCATACATAAACACAATCCACTCTACCTGCTCCCAGGAAACAATGGCGTGGCGCTCAGCGGGCTCTTTTTCTACAAACATCACTTCGGTGACTCCTGGAGATGCCTCTGCAAAAGAAAGACATCTGGTTTATAAGATGGTGTTTGAAGAGGTGGGTTAAAAAAACCCCAGCGCCAGACCATCTAACATGGCTATTTTGCAAGATCTCAGGCTGGGAGTTGATCTTATTTCACCGGGAGACATGCCAGGAAGTGGGTGGGTGGGTGGCAAGGCATCTCGACGAACACACGTCCCCTTGAAGTCAAACTGCTTCGTTCTGGTTGAGACCTGAGTGCGAATCTCACCCTACAAATCCTGGTTTTCTCTGCAAACAAATTCTTCACATATGTTGCTCTTTTTTTTTTTTTTTTTTTTTTTTTTGCTCCTAACTGTGACTCTTTCCCATGGTGCTTCCTCCACTATGTCTGTTCTCTCCTCAACATTCTCCTCGTCTGCTCTGTCTTGCTGTTCTTTCATTCCCTCATGGCTGCTACAGCTGCTGTTCAAGAATTCTGCCTATGTACCTTTCATCTCTTCTTAAAGCCTTAAGCATGGCTACTCACTGCTCCATTTTTTCCATTTTTATTTCCAACAGTGCTATTGGCTTGTACTTGCTGCATGTCTACCTATACTCTATTGTTCTCAAACACGAAGACAGACATTGCACACAGTATGCAGGTCACCACCATAGAAGTGTCTCTTCCCTCCATAATCCCTGTTACCTGTTTACTTTCTCCTGTTTGTCTATGAAGTAAAAACGGGAGGGGAAAAAATTCAGTTAGGTCATTTAGTGCAACCCCTTTGGCTCCCTGCGGAATATTTTCCCACCACTCTCTCCTTGGGCTCATGCCTTAATCATTTAGTTCCGTCCTTCATTCAGAATACCTATCTGGTAAAAACGGGAGGGGAAAAAATCCAGTTACGTCATTTAGTTCAGTGGTTCTTAGCCTTTTTGAAAGAAACGCCCCCTTGAGCCATTGAGGAAGTTATCATCGCCCCCCTCCCTGCGGTGATGATGTCTTATTTATTTATTTATTTATTTATTTATTTACTTACTTACTTACTTACTTACTTACTTACTTACTTAAGACATTTAAATCCAATGACCCCTGAAAACAAAATTCAATTCCAAGAAAATGAAAAGCCCCCCAAAAGTAACATTTAATGATTTAGTTGCAAGCGAATTTTAAGACGCAAAAAGAAATATAAAAAGGGCATAAAAAACCCCCGCAATGCAGGAACTAAAAATTTCAAGATGAAAACTCTGAAACTAAATTAAGATTGGAGGAAAATATATATTCATGCACATTGTAAAAAGGCTGCAGCCATCTTCACAGATTTGGCTTGCTCCAGCGCCCCCTACCGCCCCCCTTCTGCTCTACCGCTCCCACACCGCCCCTTTTCATTCTACCGCCCCCCTGAAAAATGAAATCGCCC